ACTGGAGAAATTCCAAAAAGTCTTCAATGAGTAGGGTGGAGAAATTGTTACTCCCTCTTCAGTGATTTTTGCAATCTACATTTATAATATCAAGTGTGTCACTGTGTCAGGAATGGAATAGAAATATTCTTCTCACCAAAAAGTTTGAACTAACATACATGAACATCTCACTAGGCACTTTCCACTAAAGACAACTTCTGGAGTTTAATGAAATAAGGATATCCTCATGCAGTAAAATCTAAACTTCGAAGCAATAAGCTCACCCTTCAACAAACTCAATAGAATTTAACCTAATATAGTTAAAAGAAAATAAACCCATCTTTACCCAGAGGAAAAAACTAAAGGAGAAATTGCACCTATAATATACAAACCACATATAGACACTCTCAATACCTGTGCCCAACTGAAACAACATCTTGACATCATATAGATTAAAATCCAGAAATGTCTACCAAAAATTATAAATTAGATAATCAAGCTCACTTCAACCACTCCCAATCCAATGCATAAGACACGCTGCGTGAAACAGATAATGGGCTTTGATTACCTCTTTATATCCTCCCATATCCCCTGCTTTCTCAGTTATCCTCTTTTTGGTAGGGATAACAGGATTCGTGAAATTGAATTACATAGCACCACAAATTCCTAGATTTTTTATTTTATTTTTCCGAGTCTATACATAACACATTGCATGGAACAGAAATGGGCTTTGGCTTGTTAGATATAGCAATCTCTAAAAGGAGTAAGGACCACAAAGGCATATGAAAACAACTTTATTTTCATGATATAAGTTAGTCTTGTATCCTCATGATATTTCTAATTGCTCCAAACTTCACGCGAATAGCAGGAGGCAGCAGGAAATAATCAGACGTTAAACAGTACAACAGTTTCCAAGAAGTCGGGACGTATGTATTCCACATAGGGAGAACAAAACCTGAAGCTTGTTGACAGCTGATCTATCGCGATACAGAAGCACGCGCATGCATTTCTCCAGCAGTATGACACCCTCTTCAAAAGTCAAGTTCTCATGCCATTCATCACGGAGAAGAGGCAGTGCAAGATGATTACCAAACCCAGTAGCCACATGGTTGTCTTCATAATGAACACCAATCATATTGACCTGGAAGTTAACATATATTTATTTAGACAAAATTTAGCCACACCTTCAAAATAAATTAGCTTATAACAGCAAATTCATAAATGTGTAACAAGTAGATATGAACAGAAATTTACCGTTCCAAGATATTTCTGACCATTTTTCACTCCTCCCAGTACAAGTGAATTCCAAAGAGGGTTGAACTTATTGCGGCGATTATACATGACCCTAGTTAAATAGTTGTGCACCTCTTTAGGACCCAAGGAATTCCCATCATCCCACATGTTATCAGACAAGCTACATCCACAAAGCATGAATAAAAAAGAGTCAGAATTTTCAAGCCAATTTCTTAAAGACTAGGTAATAGTATTGCAACAGATATAGGGACAAGAACATGGGTTAGTTCTCAAATTTATTATCCTCCAAAGAAGTTGCTGAGTGCAATTACATAAGATCATCAAGATAGCGCATTATTTCCTGAAAATCGCTGATTTCACCACTTGCTCCAATGAGAGAATGTTTTCCCACTGGCTTCAATCGTTCGACACTCTTGTAACGCAAGGTAGACCCATAGGAACCTACAAATGAAAATCATAAAAACATAAGATTCACTTCTGACTCAAAACATAGTTGACATGTTGTACATATATAATAGAACATCAAAAGAAAAGTGCAAACGCATATAACGATTCCATGATGGATATATGACAACCAGGAGCGTATCTTTCTCCCCTAAACATTACAATGTCAAAGTTATCCCAAGGATAGTTGCTTGTATCATACACAAACCTGCATGCCTTGATCCAATTATTGTAATTTAGCGCATATAAGAGCATCTCCAAGAGACTCTTTATATATAAAGAGCATCTTCAACATTATAGAGAGCATTTTTAGATTTAAAGAGTGAAATTTTTTACCCACTCTAGTGGCCTCTTTATTTTTAAAACATAACTTAAATAGCGTGTCAAGTGGAGCATTGAAACTTGTAATTCATCAAATGTAATTATTAATAAATACAAATTGAGAGTGGATTGGCTCTCCACAAACTCCCTCTATTTTAAAAATTAAATTAAAGAGTCTATTGGAGCCTATTTTTATGATTCTACTCTCTAAAATAGAGCATATTCTAGACTTAACAAGTCTCTTGATGATGCTCTAACATGTTTAATCATAATTTTGTTTCCATCTGCCACCTCCAACACAGCTTGCTGAATTTTGGATGAATGAAATAAAACTCATTACCATCTTAATCAGCTCTAACAAAAGCCTAGCAGCCTTCTTTAATATGCCTAAACCATCTTCTTGTTTCTCTCATAAGCATACTCAACTGGCCTGACCAACCAGTTTTCATATACTCTTGTTTGTTCTTCTAGCTCTGCTTGTTTTACCACAAATCCATCTTAACTTTCTCACTTCAACTACAATCAAATTATGCAAACACTTTTCAATTACCCAACATTATTGAAGGACAAAACCTTCAAGCATAAATTCAGGTAAACACAATACAGAGAGAAACAGTGAGACGAGAAAAATCAATTCACTGAAGAAAATGAGTCCATGACTTTCACTGTTTAAAAGGTGGTTCAGTCACAGTACAAGCAGACACATCTATATCAATGTAAATGTCCAGCTCATTTGCCAGCTCAGATAGAAAAGGGCACACTCTCGGCATGCCTTAATTTTTTTTCTTTTTCCCCACAAGCATATGAAGCTATCAGGAGTAATAATAGCTAATAATTTTATGTATTATACAACACATACTTCAAAAATGTTGGTATCTTATAGAACTCCAACCAGGCTATCATTGAACTGGTAGAAGATCAATATCAAAGAAAAAGAATATTGTTGCCTGCACATGAGCTTGCCTAATTTATATGCATGTAAACATATGCACATGCATGCCCACACAATGATACGTGATCAATTACCAAATAGCAAATAAATTTGGATTCAGGATCTGACCTCCCATATCGGCTGCCAATAGTATGCCATCCTTGTATTTGATGCCAACCACTGAAGTTCCTGTCACATACGGATACCTACACCACCCAAATCACGAACATAATAAGGCCGGGAGGGAGGGGAATATATAATAAGAATGAGTAACAAGAAAAAAAATTCGTCTTGCGCACATAGAATAATTTATGCCCTTAAATTACACGTAATCCAAATCTTTCCCTATTTTTTAATCACTCATTCACCAAAATAATCACTACTCCAGAACTCATTTCCTCCAAAAAAAGGGGGGGGGGG